CGGAGTCCCCATGTCTATTATCTCAGATCGGGATAGTAGATTCACCTCTCTTTTTTGGCAGTCGCTCCAGAAAGCATTGGGAACCCGACTAGATATGAGCACTGCCTACCACCCCCAGACAGATGGCCAAAGCGAGTGAACCATTCAGACTCTAGAAGACATGCTCCGAGCATGTGTGATTTCACAAATCTCATGAAGTTCTGAAAATATTCTCATCACCCCACAAGAAATACCTTGTTTACAAAAGAAGCCTCCCAAATTTTTGAGTATGTCCAACATACCCCCTTTATCCATGGCTTCTTGTCTAGAAATAAAAGTTGTTAAAATATATCTTGATATGCTGACACAGTTTCTATAACTCTTTTAAAAATCGAAACTTTATGTCATATTAGTGATTTTTTGCAAACTATTAGTGATTATTTATGAATATTTGAGATAAATAATTTCACCAAGCAAATATACAAATGGAGCCTTTATGACAGAAAAATTTGCATGTCATAAAGTTGTTGTCATAACTTCAAACAAGTCATAGTTTACGCAAATCATAACTTGACACCTTCCGACAAATGGGGTCTCATTTAGTAATTTATAAAGGGAAGAGCCATTTTGCCGACTTCTCTAATATTGGGTCGATTGATAAATAAGCAAAGCGGATTATTTTCAACAAACGAAACGAAGCGAAACGAAACGAAATATCTAGTCAACGAGTACAACTATTATTATTTAGTTAGTAAATAATGGATTTCATGATTGTTCAAAAATCTGTTAGTATTCCAGTCAGACAAATCTTCACAGTACATATATTTATAAATAATAGTGTACGCCTAAAGTCCTGTAAGAGTTATAACCAGAGTCTCCTGGAGGGGGAACAAGAATTTGTGTATAGATCTATACGGGGTTGACACCCCGCACCTTCGTTGTTCGCTACAGCTAGACCAGCCAGTCTAGGGTGACAAATGTCTTAAACGAAACCGACGCCTGAAGAACATCATAACGGGCACTCCGTCATATTAGTATGGTTATAACGACTCACTAGAATATATCAGAAATATATTTATACAGATTTCACTTTTGGTTTACGAACAACTATATTTTTCTACACAAGTGTTATGGTTTTCAAAGCTACTATTTTATACATCAGAAAATATAGGATTTTCTGGAGGAAACAATCATATACAATTTCGAAAACGACTAACTAAGACACACATGCAACTATACTCGAGTTGAAACATGTCATACAACTATTTTGATAAGAAAATATTGGATTTTCTGGATTTCTAAACTATCATCAAAGTTTTATACAAAAATGCTTATGAACTCACCAACATATTTTATGTTGACGATTTTCAAACGACTTTTATTCTCAGGAAACCAATAAGCAGGTTGTGGATCGCGGACTCAAGATTATTTTGCTATATTTTGGATTTGCTTATTGATGTCTCTTTTGTGTAAAATTTGAGAATATAAACATGATGTAAAACAATGTAAGCTTGTTATATTGAAGTATGATGTTTGGATTTGCCATGTTTCATTTATATGCAATTGTTATGATACTGCGCAATGAAGTCACCCGCCTCCGGACGTTTCCGCCGTTCTGGTCCGGGGGTGTGACACAACCTCCTGCGAACTATGCCATAACTGGAACCATGACAAATATTTAAAAATGTTATATATTTTACATTCGATTTCCAAATTAGTCCCCATTTTCTGTTACATTTTATGTTTTAACATAATGAACGCTTTGAAATAATAAAATTCCAGTTTTAGGATTAAGAACTTAATAAGCGACTTAATGGTCCACTTAACATGATCTTGACACGTGGTATGATGCTTTTAGGTGACATTTTGATTTTCAACCATTCTTAAAATATAAAGGAAGTATTAGAAGACACTAAAGAACTTCAAGGTAATTTACCATGAGTACAAGTCCTTATATTGATTTTTTTAATTTTATATGCTATTTTATGATATATATATATATATATATATATATATATATATATATATATATATATATATATATGCTTTGAGTTGTTGAAATTATATGACGTTTTCCTAATGTGTAAGGTGTTTGCTATATGTATTATTTATGCATATCATCGAATCTCTTTTTGGACAGTATGTTGCTCGTTTGAGCTCTTATTGAATTCAAAACTATATCCGGAACATTCTTATGTACATAGATTTAGGGTGGGACTCATGATAGTTGAAGGGGTTTTTGATAAATTAGGTGTCGTTAAGTCAACATGTCAACAGATTTATAGATAATCCTCGCATTGCACATATATGGTTAGCTACCCCTTGTGTGGCCTAATGTGATGGTTCACCGGTGCTTATTTATAAATCAATACAAATGAGAAAATTATCTCATGAGTTTCGATGATTAACCATCTATTGTGGTGATTTGAACTTCAAGAGATGGACAAGGGTCGGGAATAAGTGCATGCATTACATAATATTTCATTTTAAATCCTTATTACATGTTTTAGAAGTTTGAGATGATTGTTGTTCTTCGCTATCCAATATTTTACCTTGATTGTATTTGGAGTTATGGGTTATATATTACCCTCTTTTGTTGTTTTGGGTCATAATAACCCTAAATTAATTTATGATGTTTTCTTGATTTTGGAAGTTTGATTTAAGTAAGTATATTGTTATTTTCATACTAAAAAACGAGTCAACATCGGGTATTCTCACTAGGATTTTTTTTGCCTAACTTATTTTGACATGTGTACTCATATTTAAGACTTTAGAAAAAAGACTAGAATTAGTAAATATTTCGAAAAGGCTAGTACATGTGCGGATGCTTAAAAAACTATGTTATGATATTTTATTGTTACCTCCTCGCTAAATTAAACTCCTAAACTTGTTTTGAAATTTTTGGATCGTTACTTCTATAAACTTTAACTTTAAACATTTGTTAAAACAAATGATTTAAAAAAGTTACTTTTAACTTTAAAATGTTAAAATGTTATAGAGGGCAAGACCAAACGATGTATCAATATGTTACCGACATGATACCGCCAGATCCAGCTCCACTACTGACCAGACGTGCGGCGTTGAACAGAGATCGTGAAGAGGGGCATAGACGTCTAGTACACGATTATTTTGCGGATAATTGTGTCTACCAACCAAACGATTTCAAAAGAAGGTTTCGCTTGCAGAAAAATGTATTTCAGCGAATAGTCAATGCAATGGAAAGCAGGTAACGTAATTACAGTTATTTTCTATTTTAATATATGTTCTTTAGAAAGTTGTTTGGAAATTTTATTATATGTTTTTTTAGATTATTAAAAAGTTGTTTGAAAATTTTATTATATGTTTAGGTATAAATATTTCCAACTGAGGTACGATGCGAGAGGTAAAAGAAGTTTTACAGGGTTGCAAAAATGTGTTGTTGCAATCAAACTTATGGCTTGGGGGAATCGCCCGATTCTATTGATGACTATATGAGAATGTCAGAGCGAACTGCACGAGAAAGTTTGTATAGATTGGCGAGAGGTGTTATCGAAACCTTCGGTGACAAATACTTGCGCAAACCGTCATTGAATGACATACAACAACTATATGCGGCGCATGAAGAACGACATGGTTTTCCGGGAATGCTTGGAAGCATTGATTGCACAAAATGGATATGGAGAAATTGTCCTGTGGCGTGGAAAGGTCAATACATAAGTGGTCATCTTGGATCGCCTTCGTTAGTATTAGAGGCGGTTGCATCACAAGACTTATGGATTTGGCATGCTTTTTTTGGAGTTGTGGGTTCGAACAATGGCGTAAACGTTCTTGATCAGTCACCAATATTTCAGGACCTTTTGACAGGAAAGGCACCGGATGCTCCTTTCACAGTAAATGGCCATGAGTATAAGTTCGGGTATTACCTTACGAATGAAATATATCCAACATATTCCACGTTTGTGAAGGCGTTTCGACACCCGATAGAACCAAGAGATAAACTTTTCAAGAGAAGACAAGAAGGAGCACGTAAGGACGTGGAACGTGCGTTCGAAGTTCTGAAAGCAAAATGACACATAGTTGAACATGCGACACGAGCATATGAGTTGGACAAACTACGAGATATTATGTATGCATGTATCATTATGCATAACATGGTGATTGAAGATAAAGGAAGAAACATTGCGGAGTATTCACCTACGGAACCTGGACACATTCAATTTCAACCAGGGACAGCAGAATACTTACATAGAGTCGTTGATATCCAAGATCAACGAAAACACAAACAACTTCGAGAAGACTTGGCAGATCATATCTATGATGGCAGTGAAATTGAGTAATTTAGATCGAAAATGTAATTTGTTTCGTCTTATTTTATTTTATTTTATTTTTATTTTATTTTATTTATTTTATTTTATTTTATTTTTTGGTTTCTAAATGTGTTTTTATCCTTAGTTGTAATTTTTTAATGTTGTTTTTAATTTAGGATTTATATTTTTATCGTTATTTTTTAAATGTTATTTTTAATTTAAGATTTAATTTATATTATAATTATATTATGACATAAATAAAAAATAAAGAAATTCGAAAATATAGAAAGTAAAAACGTTAAAAAAATTAAAAATAAAATAGAAAATAAGTGGTGTTATTACATGTTATTTGATGTTGTCCATTTCCACCTTTAATGTTATACCCATTTATAACTAGGATGATGATGTGACACCTTTTGGATGTGGTAACATATAATAACATGTTGCCTACACCCAGCAGTAACGTCTTAGGGACCTTCTTAAAACCACATAAACCATATCAATTCTTCCAAAAGTAGACCAAATATACAGATTGGAGCAAAACTCATAGATTTATTTGAAAACCACATATAAACTATATCAATTCTTCCAAAACTAAACCAAATATACAAATTGGAGCAAAGCTCATGGACCAAATCTGTAATTTATACTAAACATTATTGTGGTATAAAATATAAATAACAATAACTAAAAAAACAACTAAAATTCCACGCAACCTCCTAGAACCTTCCAAATCCCACCACCACCACCATGACCACCACCAATTTATTCTCCCCTTTCTTGTTTTTCTTTATCCCTACATTTCCGCCACCACCTAACCCTCCCTCAACACCTATATTTCTCCACCCTTCCTCACCGCCCACCTCCCCACAATTCAATCCATCCCCTCCCCACAATTCAACCCACAATTCAATCCATCCCCTCCCCACAATTCAATCCATCCCCTCCCCTAATACCCCCATCTCCGTTTCTGATTTCCGTACGTGGTGTCTGATTTCCAATCGCTTGTTTTATGGGATTCTATTCTTTTTTTTAAAATTCTGGATCTGATTGTGTATACCTTGTTTTCTATTATAGGTTCTGATAATCTCGTTTGATTGAGCGATTGGTTTGAATCTGAATCTGAATCTGAATCGATCGCTCTTAAAAATTTCCCTTTAATTGTTGGATATTTGGCTGATCGGAGAAGTCTGGGGAATATGGCCGAGGAACAGAAATGGCAGGAAGCAAGCAATCACGTGCTCTGTGCTAATAACTGTGGATTCTTCGGGAGTCCCACCACGCTCAATATGTGCTCAAAGTGCTACAAAGATCACTGCATGAAGGAACGGCAGATGTCGACGGCGAAGATCGCCGTCGAGAAGAGCCTCACGCATCCACAGCACGAATCGAAAACATCTGTAGCGGAATCTTCCTCATCCTCATCTTCCGCTGTAGCATCTGTTTCCGTTTTACCGGATCAGCCGATATCCAATCCGGTAGACGCCGATCTTGTATCTCCGTTGTCTACCGCCGTGAAACCGCAGCAACGGAATCGGTGTGGATCATGCAAGAAGCGTGTTGGGCTCACGGGGTTTGCATGTAAATGTGGAACGACGTTCTGTGGGACCCACAGGTACCCGGAGAAGCACGACTGCTCGTATGATTTCAAGACGGTGGGGAAAGAGGCGATAGCGAAGGCGAATCCGGTGGTGAAGGCGGCGAAGCTGGAGAAGATTTGAGACGATCAGAGCCGTTGGTTGATGATGTTGATCGGACGGTCTATGGGTGGTGATAATTGGGGGGGGGGGGGGGGACTGGGTGTTGATTCATGATTGGGTCGGGTCAAGTTGATGGTTCGGGGCCCCTTTTTTATTAATTCCGAAGCTTGTGAAAACTTTGAATTTATGTGTAGTTGTCCTACTTTTTCATTTTTTAAAGAAAAAAAAGGAAGAAAAAAAATCGAAATTCATGTTCTATTATTCCCAAAGTATTGGTATTGGTTCAATTATTTCCCCAAATTAAATTACAAATTTAGTTGAAACCTTTGGAAATCTGTATACATTAGTGCCTTTGTATATGGTATTAAAATTTAAAAGTTTAAGAGAAGTTGGCTTGTTGAAATAATAAATTATTATTTTTATAAATAAGTTATTTATTTATTTATTTATTTTTTAAACTTCAAAGATAAAAGGGTTGTGTAGGTCGGTAGGCGTAGGTAGATTAGTGGGTGGAAAAAGTATACGTTTCCTTTTTCCAACAATGATTGATTCTTTATTCGATTTTTTATTCAATACAATTTGCTTTTATAAATTCAAATAATATGCGAGAGTAAATTGTAGTTTTGGTCCTTCTGGTTTGGTTAAATTTGTAATTTTGGTCTTTATTGAAAAAAATTGATAGGGTGCGATCATGTGGTTTTTATAAATTACAATATCTGTCTCTTATTTATATAGAAAGTCTATTTTGTTCCTTTTCTTATGGAAGTGCATTTCGACATGACGGTAAGCGGTTTTGAATATTTACGAGCACAACATGCTCAAAATTTTCTTCTAGCTATCACTATAGATGAGCTCGACCAACATTTGTCTCTTGTGGAGTATTGTACTATCCTTAAATATGGCTCATGATCTCTATATTCTCAATTGATGAGATATGTCACGTGTGTCGTAAAGTATGTTTGAACTCTTTTGGAGAGCATGTAATCCATTGTAAATAACTCTTGGGGTTCAAATAACGACACAATATGGTTATAGATGTTTTGTTTGACATATTTAAGCGTTTCTGAGTTTCCGCCAAGAAAGAAGCTTCTATGAATTTATTGACCGAACCGACAGAAGGAATCAACCCTTAGACCGGCTGACGTTTTGGTTTTTGGATGGGTTGGAGGGCAACATGCTTGTGTGGACCTTACAGGGGTATCTCTTCTCGTGGGCTTGGGGGTTGGGGGTTTCAAGGCGGGACAGTCTGCTTTAAAAGCCGCTACATGCAAAGTCACAAAACATGAAAAAATCATGCATGGAAAATCAACATGTGTTCATATAATTCGCGTTTGATACGTTTGGTTTCCTCGCGCGCGGATGCAGTTGAGTTTCTTAATAGAGTACAACAGATCATGCATAACTATGTTTTGTCCCCTAGATCTATAGATGTAGTATTCAAAAGATTTGGCTTTATCATACAAAAAGGGTTAGCGGCGTAACTTGTTTTGCTCTTTTGTCTTCTCATTCATTGTATTGTGACCACTAAGTAGTAGTCGAAATATATCGAAATAGTAATTATTAACAAAATTAATTTAAAAAAAAATTGATTATGAAGTTTAATAAACGAAAATTTGAAAGAGCCCACATCAAATCATCCCCTCTAACCCCAAACCTTTCGCTTTTTAAAGCCCTACATCATTTTTGACTTTCTATTCCTACCAATGCCACCATTCACACCATCACCTCCCTGTATCTCTTTACACATTGTCATTACATCATCGGCGAAAGTACCCATCGACCTGAACCTAGAAACCCACCATAGAAACCAACAAACCCTACATTATTTATCTCTTTCTCCCCTCCTTCATCATTATCCCTTTTCTTCGAAGAACGAAGAACCCCCGATGAAACTTTAGATCATGCCAACCGACCCTCATCTCAAGCAATGATTTTATCTATTTCGGGAAACGTAAAATGAAATAAGAACAACATGGAGGTGCCTTTTTTGCATGAAATATGACTGATTCGTTGAAAATCAAATTGTATCAAAAGAAAGTTTTAACGAAACAGAGGAAACAACTACCAAATATATTTTAGGGTTTAATTATGATCCCGATGACATCGTACTCACAAGTGAACATGAAAATGGAAATATGAGCAATTCGAATTGTGTTTATATGCTTAGGTTTGTCGCCCCCCAAATCAACATGGAACTAGTTATTTTCTTATAATTCTTGAATCTTGTTTCATCAAATCCCTCAAATTACAATATAATGAGGTTGATTAACTAGATAATCCTTTGAATTGTTTTTATGAATGTGTGTTTGTAGTTATTATTGATTTGTAATGCATTGTTACTAATGTTAAAGTCATTTGTCCAATGGTTGATTACCTATATAAACCTAAAGTTGTAGAGATCGTTTGATGGTGCAATGCCTATCATTACAATTGTAAAATACAATGAGAAGAATGACTTTTTGACCCACATGATTCATCGAGTGTTAGTAGCAACAGATATGGTGGATTCCTCTTAGAACACTCACCATAATTTATGAGAGAAGCCCTAATCCCAGTTGTTAATAAATCAACAATGATGTATCCTCCTTTAAAACCTATCAAAAGACGAAGGAGGGGGGGGGGGGACAATATTGAGTTGATTTATTAATTTGTTTGGAAGATTTTTCTTTTGATCTCATGTTGAATGTTTATGAAACGTTTGATAAACTTCATGTGGTTTTACTAATGGAGTGTATAAAGTAACAAGTCACACACACACACACATATATATATATATATATATATATATATATATATATATATATATATATATATATTAACAAAACATTACTTGCCATAAAATTAAAATATATAAAAAAAATAGTACAACACAAAATTTTAAGAAAGACCCAACCTTATAGTCTATGTTTCATTTTTATCTTTAAAACACAAATATGATGATACCTAAATTGTTCGTCTGTCATAGGGGTGAACATTTAGACCCGTGGACTGGACCGGACCTGGAACTTTTTTTGGATCCCCGTGCCGTTTCTCGGTTCTAGGATTTGATCAAAACCGATCCAGTCCGGCCGGTTCCGAGTAAAAACTGGTTTTAGATATGATTTAAACTTTTGTATTCTGTGAAAATTTTTAAACAAACATATCTCATTCGTTTTAAGTCGGATTGACATGTGATTTTTTCTAACGTGTAGTTTAGAGTTTGTAGATGATTTTAAACTATAATTTTGTTGTTTTTGGTGTTATATTCAATGAATTAAAATCCTTCAAAGTTGAGATATCATAGCTGAAATATTTCAGCTTTTCAGCAAGAAATTTAAACTTTTGTATTCTGTGAAATTCTTTAAACAAGCATATCTCATTCGTTTTAAGTCGGATCGACATGCAGTTTTTTCCAACGTGTAATTTAGAGTTTGTAGTTAAATTTAGACTATAAGTTTGTTGGTTTTGGTGTTATATTCAATGAGTTACAATCCTTCAAAGTTGAGATATCAAAGCTGAAATATTTCAATTTTTCAGCAAGAAATTTAAATTTTGTAATTTGTGAAATTCTTTAAACAATCATATCTCATTCGTTTTAAGTCGGATTGACATTCAAGTTTTTTCAACATATTATTTAGAGTTAGTAGATGAATTTAGATTATAATTTGCTGTTTTTGGTGTTATATTCAACGACTTACAATCCTTCAAATTTAAGATATCAAAGCCGAAATATTTTAGCTTTTCAATTTTTACTTTTTATTAAATACTAACAACATTTTCATTTTGTGTTTATGTAGAGATTACACAAGATTTAAACATGTTAGATTTAGATGACAACGATATGTAGAAGAGGCCAATGGAAGATTAGATTATGACGTTTGTTAGTTTGATTGATTTTAAATTTTAAACTATTGTTTTTGGTGTTACGGTAATTACTTTTGTATGTTTGTGTTAAGATTGCTAACTTTTGTTGATGAACTTGATTTATATGTTAGGTGCTTTATTTGGAAAATTAATTTTTCAAGTTATAATATTATAGATTAGTTATGCATGAAATATGATAAAGTCATTAACTTATTTGATTCAAAGTTCACACAAATGGTATAAACAATCAAAGTTTGACCGGTCCAACGAGTACAAGATTCGGCAATGTATTTATTTTTACGAGTTGTATCGTATCAAATCCAAAAAAGTATTCACTTTAACAAGTTGTAACGTATCAAACCCAACAACATATTCGTTTTAATGAGTTGTATCAAACCCAAGAAGATGTTTTAACGACTTGTACTGTATGCATGTAAAGTTGTGTCGGTCTAACCGTGTCCAAGAACCGGAAAAACCGGACCTGGACCTGACCCGGTAAGTCTCATCTAGTCCGGTCTACGGTCCACAATATTCTTCGAAACCGGTCTGGTCCAAAAGTCGGTCCGGTCCAAATTCTCATCCCTAGCCAGTCATATCTTGTGTGTTCTTTGCCTTCTAACTAGAATTTCCTTCTTCATCCTGGTCTTATCTCTACGACCATCAACAACAACTTTTATATGTCCATTTATCAATGATGAACTCACACAGTCCTACTATAAGTTGCTTAATGGCGTCGTCGAATATAGTTGGAAATAATGTCAACTTAATTATATGAAGAATGTGTTTTTTTTCTTATATATACAATGGAAACAATGCATTTTTTAAACAAACATAATCCCACAAACATACAAAAATTAAAAACAACTATGCTATATTTTTTCCCGAAAATATAAAGGATGACAATGTTTTATTTTTACGTATTCATTTTTACGGGTTGTATCGTATCAAATCCAAAAATGTATTCATTTTAACGAGTTTTAACGTAACAAACCAAACAACATATTCGTTTTAACGAGTTGTATCAAATCCAAAAACATGTTTTAACGACTTCACTGTATGCATGTAAAGTTGTACCAGTCTAACCGTGTCCAAGAACCGAAAAAAAACCGGACCTGGACCTGACCCGATAAATCTCATCCAGTCCGGTTCACATTCCATAATATTATCCGAAACCGGTT